CCCTTACTGCCCGGAGCTGCTCTGTCACTTCAGTGTGGTCAGCTCCCTCCTTCCAGCCTCCCTAGGAATATGTTGCCAGGATTATCCCTATCCTGTCCACCACTCCCATTTTTCAGCCTGCAGTGGCTTCCATGACGGGTACATGCTTGAGGATCCTTTTGGTGTGCTGGGATGTGCATCTCATGCTCCTGACAAGAACAAGGATCTTAGTAAAGGAGGGAAAATCAGTGATCTCCCTTCATAGCATCCAGGTATCTATTCCAAATCCAAGTGTAGCATTCTGCTGCTGAGTCTGCACAGAGAAATAGCTTCAGAAAAATTAGGTTTGTGCCTTCTTCACATCCTCTAAAAAAGGAAACACCAGATATGGAAGATGGTTAATTAAAAAACCAGAGGGGAATTCCTCTTGATTGGATGGGGCTGGCTGGCTGAGGATAGCCAAGGTAAAGTGTTCTCCAGCAGAACTGAGTCATTTCCTACAAAACACCCCTATCCCTTAAGTAGAGACATTCACAAATTACTTCTGAGACCTCACAGGCCCTGGCTCAACAAACCTTATCACTGAGAGGGGGCTGAACCTTCAGTACCCCAGGTGACCAGCAAAGGCAGGTACTGAGTGCTCAGTGTGCCAGGATTTCCAGATCCTCCTGTGGAAATAGCAGCTTTATCAAGTAGAGGTAAAAAGCACAGGCAAAAGGCAGAACACAGCAGAAAGCAGGTTCCCCAACACCCACACAAGCAAAGCTCACAGAAGGAAGCTAGAGAGGTTAAGTACCATATTAAACTGCTGAAATAAAGCCAGAAAATGCTGCAGCTTCTTTTTTACTTGCCCTGTTGGAGTGTTGGACAGAGGTTTTGCAATTAACACAGAGACTTAAGACATGGTGGGCTGACTCAACAGCAAGCAAAATGAGTGAGCTTCCCAAGGATACACTTCCCCAGAGCCAAGCCTTGTGCCAGCTGCAATGTCCCTCAAGGGCTGATGTGCCTCACTGAAATGTAAGAACACAGTCAGAAAGAAAGAAGGTTCAATCCACAGAAAAGCTACGTGAACTTCCACCCTGTCCTTGGCAGTGTTTCCTGCCTGGGAGAACCTGGGAAGAAGAGAAAGGAGAGAAATGCAGAGTCACTCCTGTCACCACACCTTTTGTCATCAGCTGGATGTCCCATGGCCATACACATCTGCTGTGCAATTATTGCTGTGCAGGGAGGCCAGCATACACTGCTGGAAAAGCTGTGTGCCATAAAATCGTTCATTAAGTCCCAGCAAAAGGTGGGTGCATAAATCAGGCTATCAGTGCACTTTCCTTGGGAAGTGGAAAGAAGTCTGGTCTGAGCCAAAATCCATAGAAATCCAAGATCTCTCCCAGCTATTACTCCTGGCTTGTATTGGAAAGGCTTAAATCCTCCCTGAGTGCAGAAGAGAGGAGAAGGAGCTGGAATGGGTCCAGCTGAGGACACTGGGCTCCCAACACAAGATCTCCATTTCCCCAGTGGAAAACCTCCCTAAACCTCTTCTGCTCAGCTCTGTTTACCTTGCCCCCCTCCCCACAGGGCTTCCACCCACACAGGGCAGGAGGAGAAAGAAAATGGGATGGATTCTGCCAAAAACTGCAAAGTCACAAAGCCCAGAGCAGCTCTGAATCTGCAGAAAACACAGCTCCTCTCGGAAGCAAATTGCAGCCTTGCAGTGCTCACATGGGCAGCTTAGAAAGGTGTGAAGGGTGACAAACCAGCAGAAGACATTAGAGCTATTTGAACAGGATTCCAGATTGAATGTTTTTAATTACAGACTCTGTGTTTTAGCTTCTGTTTTATCCCTCTTTCAGGGAGGCTTTTGACAATTATTCTTCCATGAGCCTGCTGAGCCACCGAAATGCCACACCAAGGCGAGACCAAAGGTCTGAGATTTGGGTGCTCTTTGTGCTGTGCTGAGCCCCACGGCCTGCCGGGCTTTCCCATCCCTCACCTCTGTCCTGCTGTCCTGTGCTTCCCTTCACTTGCTCTGCACTATTTCTCTCCTAGGAGGGTCCCAGTTTCGAGTTCTCTTCCCTCCTGTTCAAGCATTTATGTTTGGGTTCCACAGCACTCAGACCTGCCAAGGCAATTGCTGCCTTCACAGCCATCTTCTGTCTTGATAGTCACTGCCTTCCTCCTCCAAAAATCTTTATCTCTGAGCTGAAAAGAAAAATGTGTCCATAAAAAGGCAAGTGTCTCAGTTCAGCTCCATCACTGCTGGCGTCAAAGGAAAATTCCCAACAACTTGAACAGCACCAGGAGATAACACAATTCCTTTATCTGTGCACTAATGGTCTTCTGCTGCCATTCTGCTCAGCAAGAGAGTCCTGTCAGAGCACACAAAGTCACTGTTACTTATTCTCTAATACAAGACAGTCCCACCAGTGTTTTTTCTGTTGCCTTGCATGGACTTACTGTGTGTTAATATGCATATAATGTGAACATCTGTTTCAGTTTCAAAGACAGTAGGATTTAGGGGAGTAAAAAAATAAAAGGAATTGTAGGAAGCAACATCTCTGAACTAGCTAGGATGAGCAAGGTGTGCAGCCTGGCACACGGGCTGCATTGCAGAGGGTAAATGTTCTGCCTCAGACCACACAACCAGACACAGGGCTGAGAACCCAGCCCAGCCTCCCACAGAGCCCTCATTGCACTGGGAAAGGATCGACTGCCAGGGTGGCAGCTTGGGAAAAAGAAACAAGGAGAACCCAGGACAAAATGGCATACAGAGCACTTTGGCAACCCCCGAGTTTCAGTCATTCCTGCTCATGCTGTACACAAGGAGGTGATTCCATGAAGAATGAGATGATGAACATATTACTGTCTGCAGGGCCAAACTTGAAAATGCTGTCCAAGACAAATTCCAGGCAGCACTCACTGACTGAAAAGCTGCTTTCAAGCCTTTTATTCATTGTTCATGCAGAGAACCCATCACTGATCCAATCTACAAATATATATATATTTGAAAAAAGGAAAAAAGTGGCTTACAGACATTGCCTGCCTGTTATTTCAGGCTAAAAAGACAAGCAAAACCTTCAGAAAATATACATGGTTATTTCAGAAATAACATTAGTATTCAGTAACACAGTAATTATTTATTGTTTTTATTCCTGGCTGCTTATGAGACTTTCAAAGCCATGGAAACAGCAATAACTTACCTCTCTACTTTGACCATTTCAATATGCAGTGGTGTTAGATTTTGGCTGGCTATAAATATACACACATATATACAGGCACCAGATGTGTCACCTGGATGTGAATGTGCTAATTATCTCAAACTCTTTCAGGGTATAAAAACATGAGGGGTGACTATTTGGTTACGGAGGATTTCCACATTGCTTTTACCCCTGGGTCAGAGCAAAATCCCAGATTTGCAGCTAGTGGACCAACACTATCTCTGCCTTAGCACAATTTCACCCTAACCCTGTTCAGAACATTATTCCCAAACCCATCCCAAGAGCTTAGGGCCTTCCTTTTGGTTTGGCTTGTGTTTGGTCTCAGGTAAATGTGATTTATCAAAGGGGTTGTGCCAGCACCACCCTCCCAGCCTGTGTGCATACCCACACTCACCTGTGGCAGATAAAGCTGTTATCCCTCACTACAAAAACACTTTACACTACCTACACACAGTAAGACCCTGCTTTCAGCTGATACAAATTTTGCTAAATGTTAACTAAAGGAGTTAGAATTTCCCATGTGGGTGTCCCCTTTAGCTGAATTTTACTATCCTCATCTCAGGGGCAGAGCAGAAAAAACTGGGTTTTTAACTCATGCTAAAAATCCACAAGGAAATCCTTGGTTGGATGATTACATCTGGGGGCAGGAACCTGGCAGTGGTGGCTGGAGGGCACAAGTTTAACCAAGGACATGCTTCCCACAGCCCCATTAGATTAAAAAAGCCTGCCCATGTTTAGCCAAGTTTATGCTTGGAAGAGGTCTCTGCTTCCAGAGGCTCCTGCTCAATCTTCAGGGACCCCTGCCCTCACAGGGGCCAAACCAGCCATGTGAGAGGATACCTGGGCTGAAGGCAAGGACACTGCCCCTCCCACTCTCTCAGCTGCATTTTTACAAGCAAATTAAACAGCACCAAGGCCTGTAGCACGGTCTATAATGTTTAATTATTAGCATGCTCCCTGGCACAGTTTTGGCTTGTCCTAGGGAGTACTCTGAGAGACCGTGTCTGGGCAGGGTTCAGAGAGCAGCACTTGCCAAGGGCTGTTCCCAACAGGCAGAAAGGATAAAGCCATCCTGTTATGGGAGGAAGAGAGTTTAGCTGTATGGATGTGAGCCAGGCTGTGCCACTTGCTCTTAGTGCCAGCAAATGGGCTCTGGCCCAGTTTAATTACAATGAAGACATATAATCAGGGACTCCTCTGTCAGGCATTGGCACTGAGGAAGGAGGAAAAATCAAACAGTGGAAAGGGAAGAGCTGAATCCTCTGGAGGGGAAGGGGTGGCAGCAGGAGAGGGTAATTTTAGAGTTCCAGTTTGGGGTAGGAAAAAATGAGAGTGGGAGTTGGTGCAAGGGAGAAGGTAGGAATAGATGGGAAGAGATAAAGAGGTCAGGAAGAAAGATTTGGATGTGGATGGGAAATGCTTTACTTTGAGACAAAGTTTTGTAAGGGGAACAAAATGAGGTTGTTCAAAAGTAAAGAATGAGATGAGAGAGAAAAGTATGAGGAATACATGAGATTGTAGAAACTGGAAAAGGTTATCTCCAGAGAATGGGACAAAAAAATCAATCAGGCCCTTGGGCAAGCAGAGGGTACAAAGGCCTTTGAGAGAACAAGGAGAACTTCTGTCCTCCAGCATTCATGGCCCACCTGGTCCTAAAAAGGAGCTCAGGGTTTATCAGGGGTTTTCATGTGTTACTTACACATTTTGGTATCTTTATCTTTGGCTTTCACCTGTGTCACATCTCATTCTTTCAGGAGCAATTTAATCTTCCAATCTCAGCAGCCTCATGGTCAGGCGGATGAAATGTCAGAAACTGTTAAGGTAACCCACCCTGTGTGTATCCCTGAGAGAAAAAGTGGAGCAGCAATTTCCATCAATAACTCCCTGCGGAGATTTGGAAGGGCTCCTTGTTCCTTTAAAGGTATCCTTGAAGAATAATTTTAATTAACCATTTACCTGCTGCACATTGCCTGAGGCTTTCAGCAGCTGACATTGCAGTCACTTTAGCATCAGCCTGTCACTTGTCACATGAGCAGTCTAGGTAGGATGCACTTGCAGTCTTTGATTTCTGTCAAGAGAAGTACAAGCCACTCTGGGGTAAAAATCCATACTGGGAACCATCTGACCCACCTGAAAACTAAACACAAGAGGAGACCTCAAAGTTTCTTCTCACTGCTTCTGCAACATAAATATTTCTTTTTACTTTTTTTTTCCCTTTATAACTGAATATTTTACTGACCCTGCAAAAAAAAAAAGAAATCCTCTTACCATGATCAGAAATGAACAAAAAAAAGCAGAAAGCTCCCACTGCTAATGTGCTTGGAATATAACAGTCAAGGTTAGCACATAATAGCTAAACAATATGCATTTGAAAGCCGTCAAGAGAATAGTGCTTTGTTCTAATGAAAAGGATTGAAATGTTTTCTACTGTCTGCCTTGACACTTCATGTTACAGTACTTGGAATTACTTCAGTCAGGGAAGCTGTCACATCACTCATAAAGTGCCTGCAGAGCAGCAACACGGCAGCACCGAGCTGGTGCAGTGCACCCACAAAGAGGATCATTTTTATCCTCCTTCCTTGCCAGAACCACATTTGCTCAGGGACCTCCAGAGGAAAGCGGATTTCTGGTAGGTTGGGTTGGGTTTTTTGTTTTTTTTCCTTTTTTGACTGTTTCTCTGGCACTGTACCAGTGTATCCTGTGGGCCAAGGCACAGAGTTCAGCAATTTCAGCAGAAGGAGCTGCAGGGTGAGAGTTTGCTGAGAGGCTGCTCAGGCACAGCACTGTCCATTTTGAGTCTGTCCACGTGTTTTTTGCTAATCCCATTTATCTCTAGATATAAACCACAGGGTGGAAATTCTGGTCCTGACCATATCAGGCATGCAGAGGAAAAACAATCCAAACTGCTACAGGCTGTGTCTGGATTATTATCGGGCAGGTGTCTTAAAATGGGCCTAAATAAGGAACTTTCCTAACTGGAGTAAGCCTGGTGCTGCAGAGGGAGGAGGGGTGTGATGAAGCTGTATGAGATGCTGTTGGGTTTTGGAAATATTTAAGCATAGAGTCAGGAAGCAATTACCCTTTCAGGTGTAAACCAGTTCCAGAAGGACACTCTGGCTTGTGGAAACAGCCCTGAGCAAAAACCCACTTGGTTTGGAGGGTAATTAATGAGATCAGTAATTAAAGAAGCACTGAAGTCATTCCTGCTGCCCTCCTCCCCCATCAGTAAAGGACAGCCACAGCCATTCTCAGAAGATTAATTCATCCACAGTAGTGGCATAAAATTGTGTAATGGAAAAGCATAAAAGCACAGCTCTGTGAACAAAAAAGAAAAAAAACAAAGAGAGAGTAATAACAAAAAAGGCAAACAAAAAAAATACCCAAAACAAACAAAAAATAAAAGTTAACCAGCTCTTCTGCAGTGAGACTCAGTTCAGCTTTAACTTCACTAGTGTTTCATTAATGCACAGGTAGAGCTGCAGCCTAGCACTTAGCATCACCAAGAAACCTAGTGTGCATCCCTCTTATCACTAAAAATTTCCCAACTCTTTGTGACAGGAATATCTTTGGTAACTGTGGTCCTTGGTCCCTCTTCAATCACCTGCCACCATCACAGACAGTTGCTCCTCACTCCTGGGCTGAAGAATGAGACCCAGATCAGCCTCAGGCACAAAAGCAGGAGAGGCAGAACTTGGTTACCTCAGCTCAGAGACACAGTCCTCAAAAAACCTTTGTGGATGCAACTTCTCCGTGGATATGACCAACACAGCCTTTGCCTCTCTTCAGGTACCTGAAACAGTCACCTGCACACCTCAGGAGCGTTTCTGAGTGGTGCTCAATGCACTTTCAAGTGAAGTCCCCAGATCACAATAAGGCAGGGCAGCCCCAGGCACACAGAAGTGCTGCTGCAGTTGCTTAAACAGATTTTGAACGCAGACACTCTCGGGGTTAGGCAGCAGCAGATTCATGTTACAGTTTTGTCTGCAAGACCTAACTTTGCCTCTGTTCTTCTTTGGGTACCCAAATCTTCCTCTGGAATGAGCCTCAACCTAAGCACACTCCTGCCAGGAGCAAAGCATCTGTCCTATTTCCATTTCTACCTGGGAACCATCAGCACCCTCTCCCTATCTAGCCTGGAACTAATCAGCCCCACATGTCTGGGCTATGCAGCAGTAATTGGCCTCAACCTCAAAGCAGGGGTTTCACGCCTGAGCCTGGGAGAAGTCAACAGAAAAAGCTCTACCAGCAACAGATGTGTTCACTGCTGGCCAGTGGGCAAGTGCTCCAGGGGGATCCTGGTAGCCAAAGAGAAACATGGTTACGCAGTCATTAAATGGTTCCATTAAACGGTTCCTTACTGTGCTCAGCTCTCTCATGTGCTTCCACCCACCCACTGTGTCCCCTGACCATCTGAGTGCTATTTCCAGTCCCTCCTGGTGTTGACTTTTGGTGTTTTCCCACCAAACAAACCAGCATCGATATCGTGAAGAGTTGACAGAGAGGTCTGTCAGGGGCAGTAACTTAACTTCCTTCTCCTGAACTGAACAGCCTTTGGGGCCAGACAGCCTGCAACAACAGCCAGAAAAATGAACCCAGGGTGTGCTCTTTTTTGATCAGAAATAGAGAATTAAGAGTTAGGAATCAAGCTCTCCTTTTCTCATCCAGAAAAATATAACCTTACGCTCTATCTCAAGGAAAGAATAAAAGATTTTTCTCGCTTTTGATGCAGAAGATAATGCTGGTGTTAATGACCCAAATGTTTTCATGCTAATATTCTAAATGATATTTCTTAATTTAGGGGAATTAAATAGTTAACTAAGGGGTTATATTCAGTGTCTGAGTGTATGAGGCAAAATTTTTTTGTAGGTAATGAAGAGCTCAGTCTTTCTGAAAATAACACAAGTGTATTGCAAGTGTATTTCCCAGTACAATGAAGATCATTCCTATTTTTAACTACGTAAAATATGACCATCAAGGGACAATTTTTTAAAAATAGTTCAAAATACATTGCTCTTCATCCTTCACCAGAATGAGACTTGTCTTGTGTCAAACACCAATATATTCTAACACCTTTTAGTTCAAAGCCAGAGGAAGGAATTAACTTGCAAATGTTTCTGAGAGCAGGAATTCTGGAACATTTAGACTCAGGAATTTTGATGTATATTGCTATGAAAAATAATTAATGATTAGTTATTAAATACAGTAACAACAACAAATAACAATGAAAACAGCGGGGGAAAAAACCCAACCAGTTTTCATACTATAAAAATACTACCAGAAAAATAAACAGACTAATTTTTTTTTGTTTTAATTATGTCACTTGTTTTAAGGTGTCAGAGCTCACAGGCAACTGCTGGATTTTGATGAAACTGCCATGTTCTTGACCACATTGTATTTCAGAGGACGCTGTTTGCTGGGCAAGAGCTCTGGGTTCACGTCCCACCCCTGCTCTTTTACAGAGTGCTTATACCAACTCAGGCAAATCATTTAGCACCTCCAAGCCTTGCTTTTGATCTCAGTAGTCAGGATAATATTTATTTTCTCCCACCCTTGCCTAGTTTGGTTAGCTTGTATGCTCTTTGAAGAGAGACCTGCCTTTTTCTCCTTTAAATAGCACCTCCCAAGAGGGCAAAGAGGAATATCTTTGTCTTGCTTGTACGTGGGAGTAACGAATGACACTCTCCAGGATGTGCCTGCAGTCACCTTCAGCTCTTTGCTGATGGGATCTGGTGCTGTGGCAGTAACTTGTGAAGCTGTGCATACTCAACCCCCAGCCCAATCTCTCCCCTGCTTCAATAAAGCAGTTGTGACAAATGGCACCTCGCTAGAAAACTAGCAGAGGCAAAATGAAAAATAATGGGTGTAGGAAGCAGCTGGGAGCATAAGAACTACAGTCAGAATGGAGGCACAATGCTGGACACCAAGGGCAGAGGGAACTCGTGGCCCTTTTGGGTGTTATTGGCTGCTATGGCTGAGTAGCCACTAAGCACCATGAGCAAGCACCTACAGCAGTTGTAGGGATGGACAGATGCACACAAATTTCTCCTGCTTTTAAATATCCAGGGCAGCAAATGGGAAAATGGGAGACCATTTCATCATATCTTCTTCCAGACTGAATAAACCCAACTGAAATCCATAATATCTCTCTTGCTGCTTTTGCATCAAGCACAGGGGAGGGAGATGTGGCTCTCACCAAGGCAGCCAACATCTGTAACCACCACAGGCTTCAAAAGACTTGCACTTCTATGGCTCATTTTTCTGCATTAGCTCCTTCCTTTAATAGAAGGATAAGTTAAACTTGGCTTCTTGGGAGCAGGGAAGCAGCAAGAGAAAACCTCAACTGTGCCTCAGCAGGGCAAGACACAAAGTCATGTCCTTCACCAGATCTTTCTCCAAAAAGTGTGACTTTTTTGGAGGAAAAATGCCATGGCTCAAGCAGAACAATTCATCCCCATTTACCGCCACAAAACCTGAAAATCAGTTCCACCAGAAAGACAATTTTCAGGGGCAGGGTTGGATGGGCAAATACATATTACAAAGTCAGGGACAGTGGGATGCAGGATGCTCCTTCCCATCAACCACAGGTTTCTCTGAAGGTTCTGGGCCTTCTTTACATCTGCCTTCAGACACCAAACTAGTCATGTCCTAAACCAGCCTCCTGAGCCAGAGCAGGCTGAGATGGCATCCATGCCACAGCATGCTGAAATGCTTACAGGTATCCCCAGGGGACTCATCTGGTTGAGGTCAAAAATAGCCATTGTGGCAGGAGCTTTATTCACTGTGACTGTTCAGGGAGGGCTTTTCCATCTCAAGGGACAGCCAAGTGTTGCCAGTGAGGTATTTTTTGGTCACAGCTTAAAGGAAGCAGAAATGCTAAGTGCAGGTGAGCCTCTGGCATCCAGACCACAGCTATACTAAAAGGTGAGCCAAATGCTGTTCAAAATTGAGCTAAAACATTCAGAAACTTTGTGACCTGTCCAGTTTCAGGAAAAAAAAATATCCTGAAGTATCGCAGGTATCAGGCCTAGGCAATGGCTGAAACACTTATCCAGACCTTTCCAAGACTCAAAGATTTTTACATCTGCTATTGGACAACAACTTGGCACCTGGTCTCAAGTTTTAATGATCGGGATGTCATTATAAACCATTCCACTAGATATATGAAGCAAAAGAGTATATATTTGGGAAAGCAAAGTTTAAAGAACTAGAGTCCTCCCACCTAATGTAACAAACAACTCTCGTTGCAAGCAGCTCCTTTCTCCGAGTTATCAGAGAAACAACCTTTTCACCAGACATTTATTAAGGGACCACTCAAGAAGGTGCTTGCTTGCCAGTGGAAATTGCCCTCATCAGAAAAAAAACCCCAACATATTAGCACTTCATGCAGCACTGCCAGCCCATATCATGGCTCTGTTAGACTAGAGAAGAGCAAATGAGCTGCCATATGGGGTCAAAGCCCCATCCTTGCTGGTGCCCTGCTTTGGGCAGTGAGTAGAGGAGAAAAGAAGGAGCCATGCAGAGGGTCAGCACCCCAGGCACGTGCTGGGTTCATTCCCAAGTGGGAAGTTGCATCCAAACCATCAGGTTTAATAATTGACAATGGGAGAATCAAAAATAGTTTTAAATTTCAAGCATAATAAATTGGCCAATGTTTACAGAGCCCAACCTTTCCTCCTTTCAACAGTTCACCAGAGTAAATTCATACACTTTAACAGAGGTGCGTTTGTGCTGGGTTTTGTTTAAGCTGGCGTGGCATAATTAACCAGCCCCTCAATCAACAGCTCCTGAAATTTGTCCCTCCCTCCTGGCCTCCTGCACCCTTTCATGGACTACAACAGAGATTTTCTAACATGCCCTTCCTGAAAGCTGTCCATCAAATTTGTCCTGTTCCTTTTCCCCACTCCGCTGAACTTTGCTTTTCTATGAATACTTGCACACTAAATTGAAGTCCCCAGACCAAGGCTCAAAAGAGCATTGAGGCAAATGAGAGGGGAAAAAAAGTGTTGAATTGTGAGATTTTTTTGATCATTCAAATGCCCATGAATTGTCAGAAAGCTGGACAGGTAGTACCTTTTCTAAACAGAGTCTTTAATTTGGAAAAAATACTAAAAGCTCAGCATTTCACGCCTCCATTGAAATATGCCTCTGGCTACCCTTTTATTTTTCATGCCGTGTTTTCAGAAATGTTACATTCAAGAGAATACATTGCCTTCAAATCATGTACACATGCATGTTTATTAAGTCATTACCATAGCCCTAAGTCCATAAAATCACTGTGGACTGCAATACCACATGTGCATCCAGCAATTAGATGAATAAATTAACCCTGAAAATTTTCTGCTTGAGGTGGAAGGGAACAACTTGTACTCTGAAAGTTGAAAAAACACTCCAGAATAGAGGAATCAAATCATTTTGTATTTAAAAGACTGCTACCTGGCTAGTGCTCAGGGAAAAAAAAAAACAACACCTAATCATGCTGATGAATACCAATAGCTTTAAATTTCTGAAGAAAAAAGGAAGGAAAAAAGAGTAGAAAACAAGGATTTGGCAGAGCACGCAGTTCCAAAGTGCATTACTCCGTCAGTGTCATTTTCTATGCAGCAGTGTTCTTTCAATTATTTCTTCCCCTCTCTTCCTCTGTGCAAAGAAAATTGGCAGAAAAAGTTGCCTGCAGGATCAGAGAGGGGTATTTTTATCAACCTACAACTAGATTAAAAATCCTTTATCAGAAATGCAGCAGAGGACTGGCCTAAATTAAATCCCATCTCCCTCTGCTTCTGAGCTGTGAAGGAGTACCACACAAATGGCATCTTGCTTAATTTGTATTATTTTGTAATTTCTGATGGATTTAGTTTGCGCTTGCACCAGTTACTTATGCAAAAA